TAATTTCTTGATTATCTTGATGAAAAGGATAAATAATTATGACAAATTATAGTTTTATTTTGTTAAAATTTTTATACTTGTATGTCATATGATGTTCTAGTTATGACAGCTTTATTTATAGATCGATGTTGTCATTTTATTGATGTTTTTCTATGGTTTGATAGAAACATGTGTATTTATTTAACATTGTATACTTTTCTTGGTGATAATAAAGAGGGTATGTATGTAAGTACAAGGCATATATTTTGTGATTTTATTTTCACAATGTCGTCTTGGGTTATGGTCTTTTCATAAATCACTAGTATAAGTGTTTATATATAAATTTAATTTGATGACAATAGAAAATGTTTCAAAATTTGTATATATGGTTTGGAAAATCTTATATTTGAAATTGATTTATGAATGTTAATTGCGTTATGAATGTTGTGTTTTTTCATTTGATGAAAAAATATATATTATACTTGGTCGTAGTATAATGAAGGATAAGGTGTTCTTATCTTTGGCTTAAACTTTTTAATAATCAACTGTGATAAATCCTTTGGTTTTAAAAGGATGTTCTAATGCTAGGCGGTAATGGATTAGGGAGTTTGTTTGTTTTTCAAGAACATGATTACTTTTCATGGAGGAGGTTTATTCTTCATTAAGATTGTTTGTTTTCATGGAGGAGGTTTATTTTTCATGAATATGGTGTACTTTGTGGAGGAGGTTTATCCTTCATAAAGAGGTTTGTTTTCATTGGAAGAAGTTTTTAATTCCTATGAGTCTTATAAAAAGCTTGCATGATAGTTAAGGTGTTATTGATATATGATATAATTTATGGTTTAATTCCATGTACCATGTTACTAGTAAATGTGATATATATATTTCAATAATTATCAATAGTGTAAATCATGTTTATAATGGTATTTCATGACACATATGGTTATGCGACATTATTTTGTGTGTGATTTTATGAAACATGGAAGTCGCGGTTGTAAATTTTATACGATCTGCTTGATTGAATCTTTGGCCAAAGTATTGACAAGTTATGTTGTAAAATTCTGACGGGATGAAATTAAGCCCAAATTAGGTCACTAGTAAAGAAAACCCAATTCAACGTCTAGTACAACGCTAGATCTTGAATTCAATGAGGATCCAACTTGACTTGGTGATTTGAAGCACCATATTTATCAAATTCATCCCAAGGTTAGTGCTTAGTTTTGCAATGTAAGGAGGTTGAAATTTATTTCTTAATAGACTTTTGGGAGGTTGCTCATATTGCAAGAGCATGATTATGTAAAGTCTACCTATATATATGAGTAAGAAGTTTGGCCGCTTCACTAAATTAGGGGCTTAACTTGGAGATACTCATGAATTGAAGTGATTTTATGATTCAAAGCTTAGTCTATCATTATGATTAGAATTATTGTTAAGTGTATTATACTAAGCGGAAATTCAATCGTTTCGACATAATCAAAATGTCATTTTTTTTTTATAAACGGACAAAGGTCATATTATTCTTGACCATATATTAAATCCGATGTAAAATCCACAATATTATAACCATCCATCATCCATACTCCTCAAGGTCTAACTTAGTAATACCTTATCTTCCCTTACGGTATGGGTAGGTGGGACGCAATGGCAAATAGGGTTGGTGATGTGTGTGAAATGTCGAATGAAGAAGGGAGGTGAGACTCATGAGAGGGTGGGTTGTGGTTATGGTGGTACGTACTTATAATTGAAGGTAAAATAATTGGAGCAACTGTGAGTCTTTGATGTTGATCAGAGATGGTTGCTAGGATTTTTGCCCAAGGTACTTTTGCTGGGATATCATCCTTCGTAGGCTTAATATTTTTTTTTTAAAACACTTAATTCACCAGTTTGCTTGGTATGGAGCATAAAGAGATAAACAACTCTAACAGTTAAGATATATAGGAGGAAAAGAACAAGTAAAATAGCCAGCTCAAACCATTAGTTCATAACTTCATATTAAAAAGCATTCAAGGACAGCTACTAGTACAAAATTTCATTCCCATGAACTGAAAAGTTGTCTAGCATCAAATTATATAATGCCAGAATCCCTGCTTACTGGTTAATTCTGCAGGGGTAAATTACATACAACATCAACAGAATAAAACCGAATCTGCTCATGAGCCCAATCCTCATTGCCACGGAAGCAGCACTATGAACTACTTCACCAATCTTCGGGCATTCCTAACTGGGAAATGAACACTTAATCAAATATTTGACCCGAAACACACATTTAAAGTGTAATACTCTAAGTGTGTACAGAAATACAAACACCAACACTCCTAAGAAAATCAATGAAGTATATACACATAACAGGCAGAAGAGATGACGCGATCAAATTACTTTAACAACACCTGCAAACAGTATTAGAAGTCTAGCGGAACTAGAATTAAAAACACCAAAACCATTAAAGGCCATAAATTTGTTATTTGTGTTTCAAACTGAATCATTTATCCAATAGCACACATCCTATCCTAATTGATTTAGCATAAATCATAATTCTAGCTTTCACAAACATAAAAAAAAAAAAAAAAAAAAAAAAAAAAAAAAAAAAAACCCTGTACATAATAATTCTGCCAGCTGCTCCCTTCCACATTGGCAATGAATAAAAGATAACAGTAACAACAGGGAAAAAGATAAAGTGTTTGCACTAGTAAACACATTGTACTAGCAATCGCAACTCAGATAGTCTGTTTAATCTTCTTCTTGGATGACAGCCATGAAAAAAAAAAAAAAAGAACACACTTGGAATAACAAGATGTAAACAGAGAATACGAGTGAAAACTAGATACAGTCCAAGCAACACTTTTTTTTTTTGGGTGTGGAGAAGAGAAGTGGATGCATCATTCTAGTGCTACTCGGAGGGGGCAAGCTGGGAACCCATCACTAGAGCGAACCCCTAGCCCCTACATTCACTAACTCTTCAATCTACAATCACCTTCCATCCACCTGTATTTTCTGTATTTCTCTTCCATTTCCCCTTAAAATATATTATTAATCCAAGCATACCTTCAAGAAATCAGATTCAAAAACATTCCAAAATATAGGGTTCATGCAACTAAAATGACATCTGGGCAGAACAAATATAAGGAAAGACTAATTACAAAATGAACTAAGAAAATGCACTTCATAAATTATCCATAATCAAACACAATAAACTTTTTTTTCCTCAAACATAATAAAATAATTTTTCCCTCAAAAGATTATCCATCTAGGTTCTTCAACCCAACCTTCCATTAAAAATGTGGTTGCAGAATATTAGTAAAGCATTGCAAAGCTCAGACAATTGAACAAGAAAAGTTTACTAGCAGAGAGAATCAGACAAATAAATGCAGCAGCATGGCACACAAAATAGACAACCACAAAATGATGAGCACAAATTAGGTTACCAGAAGCTGAGATAATAACAAAGACATGACTCAACTAGGACAAAGAAGTCATTGAAATGAATAAGAGAAGCATGAGTAACAGCAAATAAAGTCAAATAAGTAAATAACAATATGAAAGGCTTAATGGAACTATGGAAATTCATAGCTGCCAGATATTAATGAAAGTGAAAATGGCACATCCACACCCATATACATTACAAGCCAAAAAGCAAATAAATTAGGATAAGCAAAGCAGAAACCTTCCTGTTTCACATTGCTTTGATATGTTACTCTAATGAATAATCAATCAGAAAGGGTCATACTGATAAGGTTCGGTCGGGGCTAACAGTTCGAGACATATTATAATTATGAGAATAAGAGTTTAGAGAAATCAACAGTCACATCACAGTTAAATAAAAACCCTAACCATTCATATGTTGTCCCTCCGGAAATTCCTGCAGAAGAAAATACTTAATTGCTCTAATTTGGGTTAAAACAACTGACTGTCAGCACGTGACAGACGACTGTCCTAGCAATGAGCAAGCCAGCAAAAACAGCCAAACTAAAGGGCAGCACTCCACATGACCTCGGTCAGATACACTTTGCCTTATAGATTTATGGGGGATATGTGGACAGGGTGGATGTACGGCTAGGTCTTGTGTATCTTTTTTGGGTAAGTAGTTTAAGGTGACGGAAGAATCATAGTTGTGCAGGGCATCTGATGAACGCAAACAAAAGGTTGTTTTTTCAACTGTGAGAAAATGACTGACAGTAAAAATTAACTATGTTATTTATGTATGACTTGCAAATTCTAGAAAACCCTCTATAACCTCATGTGCCAAATCAGCTAAGTCTGTCTTAAAAGATAAAGATTTAAGGCTAAGCTTTAAAGGAACACAATCTACTACCTAGAGTTCTAGACAAAAACCTCAACATTTCAAAGATAATTGAAGAAAAAAGATCATTTTGACATTAATTACCTGTTTTAAAAAGTGTCATTCAAAATTCAAATAACTACCTTTCGTAATTTTTAGAAATCCATCTAATCTCCCGTCACATGAACCCCAAAGATATATACTAGTACCAACAAAGCCCCTATTGGTAGTTTTGGTACTAATAACTGTCTTGTTGGGATAAAGTTGAGTGACAACAAAACCTAAATTCTATTTAGTACCAACAAAGAAGTGTATAGGTACTTAGTTAGTTTAGTACCAACTAAGCACTACTTTAGTGCCAAAGAGGATAGAATGAGGTCTATGTGGTGAAAAATTGGTAGTTGGGTATTGAATTATAAACTTTGGACTTTAAAAAGGCAGTTATTTAAAAAAAAAATAATAATAATAACAAAAGGAAGTTGTATAAATAACACTGTTTAGAATTGGTAGTTACTGACAAAATAAACAAGAAAAGATTTAACAGATAAAAGAAAACATACAGAGCCACCTAGCAATAGTACAAACAAGTTAAGCAGAAAAAGTAACCAAACCAAATTCAAGGAAATTGAAGAATATCTTCCAGCTTATTAAATATTGCTATTTGCTACTCTTCAAAGAAACAGTACAGTAGGCTTGCGCTTTAAAAAAAGCAAGGGGAAACGGAAAAGTAAAAACTGAAGGCGTGTACAGCTCAAACGTGTATTTATTATCAAAGTAAAGAGCCTCTGATATAATTATGAAGGCCATAAATAGAAATTAGGAGTTACAGTTGGAATGATGTAGATATAATTGTGAAGTTGTGGTTGATGCCCATCATGTTACATGTAAAAATACAATTAACTAAACTGACTATTTCCTACAATTTTTACCATGGATTACAAGTCCCAATACTCATTAACACTCTTCCTCCGAAGGCAGACACACAATCCAACTAGACCCAGTTGTCATCAGTCATCATCATCGTAGTGAACCACAAGTAATCCAATCAAAAGGGGAAAGAAAAATAGTGGTCAAGCAATATAAATAGACAGCAAAATTTTGACTGATCAGAATGAATTTTTTTTTTTTCTTCCCTTTCAACACAAATTAAAGCTCATTGAAACCTAATGAATAACATATAGAAGTACCGAATATATGGCATTCTGGGCGTACCTATAGTTTTTATCAAGCAGCTGCATTCTGCTCTACTACAAATAATATGTAGGAAGCTAACAACCCAAATTATGCTTCATGGAAAAGATAAACAGCTTCAGGCATGATTTTCCTGTACATGCCTTTTGTGATCCCTATCAGGATATCCAAGGCGGCCAATCCTGTTTTTCTCTTCAGAAAAATCCCCTTGCCATCTTTTTCCATCACTTGTTTTGTCCGGTGGGCTTCCAGCCTTTCTCTTCCGATCATTTGACTTGGGTGATTGATAATCCCAGCTAGAATCATCTAATGCAGACACCTCGCCTTCTTCTACATTCTCAACATCAAGTCCATGTGATTGCTGACTCTTCGAGCCCGTATGGTGCCTATCTCCAGAAGGCTCAAGGTGCTTGATATTATGGGAGTTATCATTATCAAGCCGAGTGGAGGGCTGAGCCCAGTTTTGCTTTTTTTCCTGCTTTATTTTCTCACTCTCTGCAGCAGCTAACTCAACCCCCTCTTCCAGCTCTTTCACAATGGGATCATACTCATCCATTATGTGTTTCTTCTTAATCACATCCCCTCGAGACTTCCTTCTCTTTTCACATAATTCCTTCAACTTGTTTGTATCAATCGTCTCAATCATTTCTGATGGAGATTGGGTTTGACCAGCTTCTTTGAACTCTACATTATTATTATGGTATTTATCTTTTGAATCTCCCCCGTCTCTTGCTTTATTTCCCCCAATACTCTTTTCTTTACTATCTTCACTGCTATTCCACTCTGGGGCAGATCTCATATTTTGACCATCACCCAGATTCTCAGGGTAAACCAAGGGCTCCACAGCTCTAGGTTCTCCATGGGCTTTGTGATCTGAGTTTCCATAGTCAGTATTCCGACTATGGGATACTCTAGGGGATCCAGCGTGTTTGTTTGGAAGATCAGGCAACTGCTGAGCACTTGGTGGCTTCAAGGTTCCAGTCTTAGTCGCAGCTACTTCTTGAGGAATATTGTTATTTGGTACTTGCTCTTCAGTTGAAGTTCTTGACGTGGGTCGGTTAGCAGCCCCTCCTGCTACACTGCCTTCAGCTTCACTACCTTGGTTTTGTGGTGCTCTGTTTTGTTCATACAGTTCTAACATTTGATTGCTAACCTCTGCAAAAGTAGAGCAATTAAAATGAATACGACAATCGGAAAAACTTATTCATACATAAGAAAGTATCTGCAGCAATTAAGCTCTCCTGATATTACTTTCCTGTTCCTGAATGTAAAATCGGAGGATGAGGCAAAAGAAAATAACTTATAGAATATAAACATATTACAAGAAACAACTATTGGCTGCAATGATTCCATAGCAAGCTCTTAAATTAAAGGACCAACCCTCCAATTGACGTGGGGTGACATCAAACTCTTGCCACCAGACCTTCTCACCATCCGAAGGAAGTTTGACTTTAAGGAACTTGGCAGCAAGAAAGATGGCACCTGCTGCTATGTGATGGGGCTTAAATTGCAAGCAAAGAGATGTCCGCAGCCTACATGGCCAATTTAGGTGTCAATTAAGGGTTTGGAAGAAAGATCTGCACGTCATATTACAAGATTTTCATATGCATCATACCCATCATTGACAAAATTCCACGCAACCTGGGCAAGGGCATTCTGTGCAACCTTGAATTTCTTTATAGCCTCAACAAGAGGTTTATATGGATGTTGCACATTCAGATCAAAGCCAAGAGTTGCTAGTACAACCCTCTCCCCCAATAAAATTAGCTCTTTTTGTTGTTCATAAACCTCCTGCACGTTAAATCAAACATAAATACATCAAAACATTCACACAAATCACAGTCAAAGTATATCACTTTTGTATCTTTCTGATACTAACAAATGAAAACATTTCACTAAAAAGGGAAAGGAAAGGAGTATAAGACATAAGCTACATAGATTATAAACAATAATAGAGAAAGTAAAGAGCAAACAACTGACTTTCCATCTCCTTCAAAGTACTATTTCCACTTATCTCTGACCATGGCCATACTCATTATTATCTTGTTTAAACATGTAGATTACATATAAATTGTTGGTTCAATTAAGAGTAAAATTTTCACTCTCAACAAATAGTCTATCCTATATAGCAGGGATATAAGAACCATCCTGTATAAAAGGAGATAAATCAGCACTAATAGATTAGAATACGTTCACTTATTTTTCAGAATGAGCAGTGTTATCATTACTAATAAAAAAAATGTAGCCTATCGCAGCAATGTCCCAGGAGGTTCCTTGCCATGCTTTACCGAGGGAAAAGACAGACTAACCTTTTAAATATCAAAATGCATACATCTTGCTGGAATACAAATATTCATTCTAACAATCTTATAGGAAAATACCAGAATCTGGGTGGCTTAAGCAAAAAATAAAATAAAACCAAGTGCTTCTGTGCAGCCTAAAAGGAACAAAATAGCAAGCAGTGAAAAACAGTACCTTTTGCTTAATCTTCTGAATTGCAGCAGGATCCTTTTTATGAATAATTTCATAGGAAACTAAGATGACATCTTTTAATGGACGTGGGGTTTCTTCAACCTTCCCAGCAAGAAACATACAAGCCGTGGCAATAGTCTGCAGCAGATGAGAATCAGTTAAAACTGGGCACCATATGGGACATATTTTTAACCAAAAAAAGTTCAGTACAAAAACAAATATTTTGTTTCAAGTTATCTTTAACCACCAGAACGAAATAAATAAAAGGTCACTAGAACCAATGCGTACCCTTCTATCATTCTTGGCATGGGACTGCCGGAGATAAAACCGGTGACAAAAAATAATTGCAGTAGCAATTGTTACCTGAGGTCTGCATTAACAAAAGAAAAGTCATGTAAAAGAACTTCACACAGAAGTTTATATAAATGACATACAATTATTTGAAAACACTACATAAGAAATGACATACCAAAACTGTACTCTAATCAAATTTTTGCAGAAGTAAAGTAGTCAAATCTTACACTGATGCCAACATCCATATAAAAGTCTTCAATCGGGTGGTAATTAATGAGAAAATTAATTCCTAGGAAAAAATTAATATTACATAATTCTGTCCACCACATAATATAATATCAACAGAAACTGGTTCCTCCAACCCCTTCCTCTCTGGCCCTATTAGTCTTCCAGGACCATATCCAAAGCCATTGCACAACACAAAGTGAAAAATAAGCAGCTTGAACAATGAAGCAAGCATCCTCAAACCCTTCAAATTTCTCTCCTTCCCAAATTATATTTAATAAAATAATACTAGTTAGAATGTACTAAGGTACTATAAATCAGTGGACTTTGGTACACACCATCCATAACCAAAAAGTTGTAACAAGCTCACGGACAGTGTTTCAGCTTCTGATTACAATGGATTAAATCAAATGTCTCTACTAGGCTAACCTCTTGCTTCCTAACTGTTGTGAAGACATAAGTCTCATCTAACAAAGAAAGCCTCTATGTATCTATAGGGGTGATCTTAGAACAGCCTATTTACAATAATGTAACTCCTTAACATCACTGGACAGGCTGTCTTATAGGCATTGGGGTATCAATAATCTACAAAATAAATTAACAAACAAAGGTCATCATTTCTAGGCAATACACCTCTAGAAACCAACATGGATAAGTAAAACATCCACACATACAATATTGCTTCAATAATCACAACATTCTAGGAACAGTAACATGGTACATTAATTGGACTTATTAGCAGTGTCCCACATGAATGCATCAGTTTCCCCCAGGTTAAATATTATAATTAAAAGATCAATAGCAAGAAAAGATATCTTCAAGTGATTCTTAAAATAAAGGGGAAGTTTTATACATGCCAAAGGTAAGAAAGATCATTCCTAGATACTAAGCCCTTATATACCTCAAAATTACTTTTTATCTAGTTAAGAGTCATTTTTTAATAAGAGAACCACTTTATATATTGTAGAACTAGACTCTAAAAGCTTCATATTCTGATGTTTGACCTGCGCTGCCCAATCTATTGCACTAGAGACTAATAATAAGAATCAGTCTTCTATTAGATAGCTAGTTGCTCCCCGGGATAGTCCATTTTGAAATAAGGTGGGTTACTAACCTTTAACAAGTTATGTTTCTGCCTGTACTTCCTAAACTTGGACTACACTACTCTTCACCAGCTTACCAATTCCTGAATCCAAGTCCTGGATAAAAGTTCAAAACCACTAGAAAAGAAAGAAAACTGCTTTTCACTTCCAAATCCAAGCACCAGCAAATTTCCTACTCATATGTATAAGATTCTAAAACCAAGAAAAGACAGACCAAAGTGCCTATTATATCTATTTCCCAGCTATTAAAAACATGTATCCAGCATCAGTCCAAATTTATTAGTTATCTTCCATGGAAAAATAAACGGAAACAAAAAAATTATATCGACAGATCCCACAAATACTACTTGATCACTGCAATTTTAAAAAAGAATTTTAAGGAAAAAAAAGAAACAATTAATGTAATACGGTGTAGAAAATAATAAGAACTATCTATATGAAGAAAGAAAATAATTTTTTTTTGAAAAAAAAGGACTTGTTGGCATTTCGAAGAAAAAAAAAGTAGTAAAACTGCTGTAATCTAGTAATTCCTCTACATACCACCTTGATTAGAAAATTCCAAACACAACATAATTTCTCCATTTGACCCGGCCCCCACCCTCATCTTTTTCACTTCCCCTTCCCTATGTTGCCTACTTTCAAATCGTTAATCACTAGGCATTGTTACATGTATTTTCAGGGAGGTAGCACATATAGCACATGAAAAAATGCTCTTACTAAACTCTACACTATGAACTACCCACAACATCCCACCTGGAACAAGTCAGCAATCAATCAATCAAAGTCTTAATCCCATAAGTGGGGTAGGCTACATGAACCAAAATTGATTATTCCGAGTAGTCATCCACAAAAATCTTCCTCCTCCATCCCTTACGATTCAATACTTCATCCTCATGCAAATCCATATACTTCATATCCTTCAATAGAACAAGTCAGCAATAGAACAAATAAAAGTACAGCCAGTTCAAGATTAGCGTTGATGCAAGCATCTTGCAAAACTATACACAATTCATATGTACCAAACCTCTGTACAGCTCCAATTTCAAACTTTCTGTTCTTTTATTGTTACAACATATGGACTTTCATTCTTGCCTAAGAATAACTTTGACCATCATTTTACAAAAATCTATTAGTTAACTCCGCCAATGGGTTTTCCGCTGCCAGCCCCAAGCTTGGATAAAGGAGAAGGGTTTCGGTAGGCCAGTGACAACCAGTGTAAAACTTTGTCACATCCCATGACATGAGCCAAACTGATTTGATAAAAACATATTGAGACTAATCCAACAACATATAGCATAATGAAACTACATTTTTATATATTTGTAATAGAAATAATATTAGAGAATGAATCGCAAAATAAAAAATATAACAATAATAATTATAATAGTTAATATATTGAAATAGAATTTTCATGACATTTAGCTTGAAGTCAATCAACGGTAAATGACGTTTCTCAAAGTACTTGTAAAAGGCCAGCCCAGAACTTAGTTGCTTGCAACATAATTGGTGAGCTTACTATTCCCATTTCCCACTATAAAATAATTTAGTAATGCTCACAAATGACACTTATAATACCTTAAAATATAAATAAATAAATAATCAATCCCTACACTGTCCAGGCAATATAATAAGAGTTATTTCATCAACATATTGACAATTTGTGCTAATTCCAGAATTAAACCTTCCTTGACTCCCATAATATATAATGATCAGATGGATAGAATGAAAAAGAAAACAATATTCCAGGTCTAATTATCCCCTTAAATGGCTAAATGATTTTTAAAAAACAAACAAAATCTGTCTCAGAATTCTGTTTACTAAGTACTACCTCTGTCCCATAATTAAGTACACACAACGAAATGGCATGGAGATATAAGGGGGGAGAAAAAAGGTGGGACGGTCAGTGGGTTTAAGGCTTAACTTAGGTAAAGTAGAAAGACAAAAGCTACTAAATAGAGGATGAGCGAATATTGATTATATCCAATTCAAGGCTAAAAACAAAAGAACGGTGATTAGTCTATGTAGGTGATAACACATGGAACTCAGTATTGAAAGTCAATAAAAAAAAATTAAAAAAAAAAAAAAAAAAAAAAAAAAAAAAAAAACACATGAAATCAAAGATGTATTACCGAAGACGATCATGTAGAAACCTCATATGCAATTTTGCACACAAATTATTTACCACACAGCCTTTTAAAATTTTAAGTGTAAAAAAGGTAAAACGATAGATAATAGACCATCCCGCCCCCCCCCCCCCTCCCCCCCAAAAAAAAAAAAAAAAAACTTTCATTTGTGCTAGAAGTTTCCATGGTTCCACAAAAAAAAGCTATATCTCAGCATGGGTCCTCCTAAAATAAAAAGGTTCAACTCATAGTTCCAAGACCTAGATCGATAAGCAGCTTCCTAGAAATGTGAGATGGCCCTCAATACAACACCACCCATCTCCCAATGTTGGCACCCAAGAACTCTTAGTCCCAAAATGATTTGAAAAGGACATAACAAATTATTAATTTGAAAGAGTATCACTGCAAAAAAAATCACTAAGGGCCTTAACACACTGCCTCCAGCTATAAGCCTACATACCCAGATCGAATACTAATTTCAACATAAATACGAAGAAAGTGGCTTTTAAACAAGTAAACAGCAATTAATCGCCAACCATATATCACTAGCGGCAGCAGGCTGGAGTCACCGGACTGAACCTATAAAACTCCCAACCAGACCAGGAATGCCAATAACACTCTCTCCATTCACCAAGGCAATGTAGTTTAAGTTTATATCCAGGATAAATTCTGCAGACCAACGCCGTAAGCTTAGAAGCTCCTGCCACTCACATATATACACAGAAATCAAAGTGTCCAAGGCAGGAAAAGTAAGAAAACAAAGAACATCGAGAGGGGGTACCAAAGTGCAACGAAGAGTATAGAGTACAAGGTAGGGAGAATTATGCTACCACAAGAAAGAGATGGTGCGCAATGGGCTAAATTAAATTGGTGACAGGAATTACCAAACATCCTCACTATTCAAAGCAGATGATCACAAAAAAACAAGAGGGTATGGATAATATGTAGGATTAACCCATCAGTAACAATCCTTTCCTATGGAAAATGTAAGAAAAATCCTGACCTATGAAGAGCCTTGACTTACATCGCCACAAAACGGACATGGTGGAAATGGGGTTAAACCAAATTGATGACCAGTTACTACCCACTGTCCTCAGTAAAATATCACAAAACCCAAATGGGAATGGATAATTTAGAGGGTTAGCTCCTATGTAACTATCCGTTTCTACAAAAAAATTGAAAGGCAATGATCTATTACAAGCATTCTCATAGGCAATGTCATGTTTGTGCATTACACTATCCATATCAATGGAACATCACATTAAAATTTCAGAATCTAAATTAGTTTTACTTTGAATCATAAAAAATTAAAACAATCGGTTTCTTCTACCCGTTTATCTCTTACCATAACAAGTATTAGTGACATAAGATGGATAATGGAGTCTCTCAAAACAGCAATGGACCACAAATCCGTGGAACATATTGACAAAATCTACAGAACAGAGAGTTGAAAAGGAGGCTAAGAGGGCAAGCTGCAAAATTTCCTACTGATTCGAATGTTCTATTGAGAGCCAACGACCCCCCCCCCCCACCCCAAAAAAAAAAAAAAAAAAAAAAAAAAAAGGTAATACACCTGATTAATACCATGCAGTCAGTCAAGTCTTATAGAATCCCTCCAACAAGTAAGAGGGGAAAGGACATCTATCCACCTCTACAGTCTTTTCTATACATCAACATCTAAACCATGTATCATCTAAACTCCCCAATCACAACAGTAAACAATGACAATTATTGACAATACGATAAAGAAAGGTAAAGCATAACAAACAATTGTCAAGAAATTCACTTGATCAAAACAGCTATAAACGAGAACTCACACTTTAAGTCTCATTCCTAAATCCTGTAGAAAGGTACAGTATGACTTGCGCAAGTATGTTTCCTTTTTTAGGTCAATACTGTCACGCCTTGATGGTGAATCCTCTTCAATTTCCTTCCTAGAAAAGTACCATCGGCCACCATCCTCAGGCTTCTCTTGAGGTGATCTGAGTGACCCCACTTCCGGAGCTCCAATTTGCGAGGAATCTCCGGAAGCCAAACTGGCCATATCAAATCTTCCAGCAATACTCTCTAACAGAAATAGAGAAAGGGTTAAAACAAAACAAAAAAAAAAAAAAAAAAAAAAAACAAATCCTTGCACAATGAAACTCTAGTAATCCAAATTAGTAAACATAACTTAGGGTTTCCAATCCCTCCCCAAATTCCTATATAAATATATACAATACCCACTAACTTCATTCGGGTTTTGAATCACATCGAAAGCTCGAATTCTTTACCAATTGACTAATTAAGTAACCAATCCTACTAGAATGCAGTGTCACTAGGTAAAAAGAATTTATATTTAACAATTTTTTGCATGATTAAAAATAAATATCGAATTGGGTACGAAGAGGATCAAGAAAAAACAGCGAAAATCGAAGGCTTTTCAATTAAATAAAAAAATGAAAAAATCAACTAATCGAAATTCAAATCAAAGAAAAAGCGCAAAATCAAACACCAGCTCAAATTCAACTTAATCCAAACAAATTCACATACAAAAATCAATAAAGATGAAAGGAAATCAAGCTCATTATTGAAAATTAAAAAAAAAAAAAAAAAAAAAATGAGAGGAGAGAGAAAATACCTGAAGATCAGTAGCGAAAACAGTGATGGAGGAGAAAAGGGAGAAAAGTGAGGGCAAAATAGGCGGCGGAAGGAGGAGAAAGAGGCCGGAAAAGTGGGAGGCGCCGGAGGATGGTGGACGAAGAACTGAAACTAGGGTTTGGGAACAGAAGACATGGGCAACAAGGTGAACAAAGCAAAAAAAAGAAAGAGAGTTTTATTTGCGGGGGACTTTCGTTAGCAAAGGAAGGATGGGGTTTGAGGATCGAATACACCTTCATCAATCTATCCACCTTTTTTTTATTTCTTTTTTTTTTTCTTTTTTTTTTCTTTTTTTTTTTTTTTGTAATACAGTACTTGCAAAGGTACAAGTGTTACTATTTGATTGGCACGTATAAAGAAAGAGTGATGTCGGTCCTTCTTATATGGAGAAATTTTAACACTTTAGAAGAGAATTTAGAGCGCAAAAGTACTTGAAAAAGTGAGAACTTTGATATGGTGTGTAACAAATGACAGCCTACCCACAGTGATGAGTACATTGGCTCACTGTGGTATGAATGCTGACTCTATTTGCCCTTGTTGTGATGAGACATCGAAGAGCACTATCCACATGGCGGTGTTATGTAGAGAGAGTAAGAAATTCTGTAAGCTCTCCCTTATAGTCCAAGAATGGATGTTGGTGAATGGAATAGTAACTTTTTCATTGAATGGAATGGATGTTAGTGAATGGAATAGTAACTCTTTTCATTGAATGGTATGCTGCTGAGATGTCAATATGCACGATAGGTGTTTATACGTATTGGGATGGTTATTGCTTATTTAGATTTTGCCTGTGAATCTTTACCTTTCACTTGAAAGGATTTTTCTTGGTTTAGGCTTTAGGAGTTTATTTTAATTATTTTTATGTTGTTTTTATTTTGTTATTAAGTGACCGAAATTATTAGGATATATTTTTTAGTTTAATTCAGCTAGTAGAAGGTAGCTTAACGTTAAAGATCATATTTGCAAAATATTATCTTTACAAGTTAGGGTTAGTTTCCTAGTTAGATTAAAATTTGTACTATACAATTTAGGCTAAATGTTTAGCTTATAAATATGTGGTTAAGAATTAATAAAAAATCAGATTTGAAGTTTAATTATTATAAGAAAAACGTGAGCTTAGCTTGCGTTTATGGTTTGCTAAACCTTGTCGTTGTGCTAAACTTTGATTCTTGAATTGAGCCTTCAAGTGTCGCCTCTCAATCGAGCCTTGGGAGTTCTATCCTTGTATATTTCAAGTTTGTTAACTCGTTTTTCCTCAAGAAAATCGAATACATACAACCATAATCATATAATGAACATATCAAAATCCAAGAAAGGTTCAAAGACCGACCCACACCAATTGGATGCATATTTACGCAGCTGTTAGAGGATGTATTGATGTGCACTAATATGAACAGAGATGGTACTTTACAGGCTTTGCGTTTTGGTTTCTAGCTTGCCTTTGATGTTGGTTTTTTCTCCATTGAAGTTGGAACAAATTGTTTACTTCTTGTGAAGCTCTTGAACTCTGAAATGTAAGCAAGAACTGCTACATAACAATATCATTGCAACAAGTTATAACTTTAACGCTTGTTACATTAGCTTTTCAATCTAGAAGAACTTGTAACATGGTAGCTCATGCCATTGCTAAGACCGATCTCTCTCTCTCTCTCTTGTGAGCGCGATGATGTAAAAATATGGATGGAAGACTAACCTCTAGAGGTTATGCATTATGTCAACTCTAGCAAACCTTCCTCTGTGAATAATAACTTCTCTATTTGTTGTAAGAAAAAAGTACGGAGTAATTAATAATTGAATTTGCACAAATTCTTATATGTGGCTAACACCATTAGTTGATGGTAGTGTGATTACTTCATATATATATTAGGCAGTTCTTTGTGTAAAAGGGGGTTTCAACCATAGATGATCAAATGAGATTATCTTGACGAATAGGAGTTACACCCATAGAATAATAAGGTTATTCTTATATACAAGTAGAGTTATTCTATTAACAATCAAACAAAACAAGATAAGTATATTTACTCGAATGAACAAATGGGGTTGCTCTTTCTTAACTAATTGGGTTTCTTGTATAATGAATTGAGGTGACTTTTATGGACTAACCAAGGTTACATTTATGAATAAATGATGTTATTCATATGAATAAAAAAAGTTACTCTTTTAAATACATTTGGTCGCATCATTTGTCTAGCCTCGCATAAGACTTGTTGAATATATCTCTATTATAAGTAATTGTAAGTCTAAGATCAATAATGATGTACCTTAAAAACATTATAATAGTTGTCATGTCTCAATGTTAATATTGGAAAAAAAAAAATCAAGATGTATTCAACGGGATTTTTATAAAATTATTGACTTTCAAAATAATAGACATAATTATTAAGGGCAAAGTTTATGAATAAAAACAAGACTTAGCAGATAATTTGAACATTCGATCCAAAAAGTAGGGTACTTGATTAGATAACATAATAGTTCGAGTATTCAATCCGATATCAGATCCAAAAGTAATGTACTTGATTCGATAACGTAATAGTTCAAGTATTCGATTTGATATCTGATCCAAAAGTAGGGTACTTGATTCAATAATCATTATAATTCGGGTACCCTCAGTTTTCTTGTGTTTATCCCCTTTGGAATTTTAGGAGATTCTAATGTAAATAGAATCTTAAACTTTAATATCTTTAATATTTTTCCAAATATAGTTATGTTAAATCTTGTTAGATTCGTCTCTCTTTTTAATTTCCAAACTAGTTTTTGGCCCGGGCGATGCCCCAAGTTATTATTTTATTAAAAAAAAAATAAGTATTAGTTGTTTATTTAAAAAAATTATTGAGCATCAAAATTCAATATTCATTCAATCTACAGTAACCTAAATTTTACATAAGTTTATTTTATTAGTTAAAACGATTCTTTAGTTGTCATAAAAAATTCCTTATTAAAGTAAATGTATTATGTGATTAATTGAAAAAACCTTTAAAATTGTTATGCATTTTTAAGTTACATATTTTAAATACATATGACCTATATTTAAGAATTATGAATGAGTAGGTAAAAGAAATGAGATTAATTTTGTAACCATATGGTTGTTGAAATATACACGTATAAGTTGACAATTAAAATTTTAGAATTTATGAACACGAATAACTCTTTTTAATATGACTTCATTTTCATAATTTGTGTAATTAGAATGTTGGTTAAAATTTCACTTTAGTGAATGTGTGGTCATGGGTTAAATAAAATTGCTAACAAATTACAATTTTTTTAGCGAGAAAACATTGGTGATTGATTGTAGTATGACACTATGCCACATAAGCAATGACGACACGTGGCGGGATTGCATGACTTGCCATTAAGTTTTAATAATATATATTTATTGATTGTTATATTGATATGTTATTTTATAATTGTTTGTCATATGTAACTTGAGATATATTAGCCACAATATTGCATAGAAAATCGTGCACAAAACAAATGGGACATACATTAAAAAACATAGAGAGTGTGAAAGAATTTGACAAGATATCACGAGAGGAGAGAGATAGAATATTAAAATGTTAGTTTGCCTAAAATGTAAAGCTAACACTTTAAAAATGTAAAGGGAATAGTCATGCATAGTTTTTTAGAATGGTGAAAAATGTCATTTCTTTTCATAATTTTTAAAGTGGCGCACTTAGGCAGGGCACAAACTCGTAGAGTTTTAGAAGCTTTACACTTCATGTCCGACTTCTACGCATTAATTCTTAAAGTGATCATAAATAGACTCTTTTACATTTATTTTTTAAATTTTAAGGGGTCAACTTGATTAATAGTAATTGCTAAGGGGGCTTGTTGACACGACATAACACATGAATCGTGCTACGCATGAGCTTTGATTATGAAAGATCAGCATGAATCCACTATCACGCGACTATTTCTTACCCTATTAAAAATACAGGCATACGATACGACTCGCTTGAGCACAACACATGCTAGCACTAGAGCTGTCAATTCGGGTAAACAGTTCGGGTTTGGGTCGGGTTAGTGTGGGTCAGGTCAACTCGGGTCGGGTCAATTCGGGTTAATGTCGTAACCTATGCGGGTTGGCTTCGGGTTGGGTTATATTTTAGTCGGGTCACATTGGGTCATACATCTTATCGGGTTTAGGTTGGGTTACATTCGGGTCAGGTGAATAATAGGTCGGGTTTATTTCGAGTATTAACAGGTTAAAATGAGTTAGGGTACGGTCATTCTCAGGTTCGAGTTGGGTTCGGTTTAAGTCAATAATTTGCGGGTTATAATCAAGTCGGATCATTTCTAGGTCGGGTCATGTTCGGGTTCGGGCTCAAATATTGGGTTAATCTGGGTCTCGGGTTGATTTCAGGTCGGGTCATATCGAGTTTGAGTACATTTTTCGAGTCGGTTTGTTAACAGTTCATGTATTGACATTCACGTTTAATCATTAGCAATTTCTTCATTTATTGTAAGAGAAATAATTTTAGATAAGTACATATTCGACCTAATAAGTTTAAACTACATTTTTTTTACTTATTTTAGGATAAATAATTTCATATAAGTTCAAATATGAGTTTGGATAGTCTGGTACTATGGTACATAGTTGAAACATGACAACATTGATAAATCAAATATAAGGTGTTGACATTAATTTGGTTGTGCCAATTTAATACTCCATTCTTTATTATTAGCTTTATTATTCGGATTACAATCCTTCTCAATTAACTAGCTTCATTAAAGGAAACATTTTAAAGCATTAATGTGCTAAACTAGTTTACTAGCTATATTAGATAAGAGTATAAGAGTTAAGATATGTGTGTGGTTTGAGAAAGTTTATTTAAGGAATCAATGTGTAAGCAATTTTAAAGGTAGATTTGTCAATTTGAGAGTTTGGGACGAGTTAGCTCGATTTAGGTCAATTTGAGTTAATTGCATTACTATTCGGGTCGGGTTACATCAGGTTTGGGTCGGGTTAAAAACAGATAAGGTTGAATTCGAGCCGGATTAGAAACAGGTTTAATCTAAGTCAGGTTGGATTCGGGTCAAGTTAGTAACAGGTTGGGTTGAATTTGAGTTTCAACGGGTCAAAATGGGTTTGGGTCAATCTCGGGTTCAGGTCGGGTTCGGTTCAAGTCAATAATTGACGAGTTATGTTCGGATCGGGTCATCTCTGGTCGGGTCATGTTCGGGTTCGGGTCACGAATCCTAAGGTTAACTCGGGTCTCGGGTTAGTTTTAGGTCGGGTCATATCGGGTTCGGGTCACCGACTTTTTGGGTTCAAATAAGTTAGAGAGTTCGGGTAAAATTTTTGAATCGGGTCAGCTTTTGACAACTCTAGCTGGCACGGAGCCCGTGCCCACCTTTACTAATTTGCCTTTGCGGTTTCACTTGTTACCCTCTTATCTTTGATGGATCAAGTACACTTGGGCCTATTCTTAACAAAGGGAATGTAAATGTATAATAAGATAAATCTCTAA